GGCGGGTCGGGTCAGGTATGGTTCGGGTTGAAAACGGGTAATGCAAAACGGGTAAATATATGACCAATACGGATAAAAAACTAGTTAACTGGCGGACAAAACGGCTAACCGTATTATCCATTTATGGCTTCACGTTAGCCTCAACATCTAATATGAATTTGCTGCCATGTGCAAACATTTGTTCCTTTAAGGTACCATCCTCCTTTAAGGCACCATCCAGTGCTTAGGCACGCTAATTTGGGGGAGAAATTGATTTTGGGGAGCTTTTGACTTTATTACCCATCGGATAACCAGTGGTTACCCATTTAAAATATGGATAATATGGGTAATATTCATATTTGATCCGTTTTTTAAATGTTCATTATCCGACCCATATTTTGGCGGATAATATGGGTGGTTACTTGTTTTCTTTTATCCATTTTGCCACCCCTAGTTGAAACTGCTTCAAGTGAAGAACCAAGAACCTGGTCCTTCCCAGCCTTAAGACCTTCCTAGCCTAGTTAGACAAACCAGTGACCCGGATGGGATTTTTTTTGTTCTTTTTTCTCATAATCCAGTATCTTTATTTTTTTATGCTTTGTGAATGACTAGTATCAATGATAATCAACTATTTTTGTGCTCTAACTGTTTGTTGATGCTTCTTAGATGGCTAATATCATTAGATTGGTAAATGATGCTTGACTCCATGATTGCATTTGAAGTAGCCCTAGTAGCCATGAGTGATATCAATTAAAATCTGGATATCTAACATAATTATGTAACTTTCCGATAATGCCAAATGGGGGAAAACAAGTTGTTCTTTTTACTTTGGACTGCGATGTTTATAACCTAATGAACCTGGTCCTTGATGATTTGTGACTTCAAAATGAAAAATATTCTAATATTGTGTCGATGTTGAGCTGAAACAAGTTCTATGCTTATGAAAAGCACAGAGTTTATCATCATCAAAAATGGGGAATTTGTTGGCCCAAGTTAAGTTTATTTTGATGATTGACAAAGGAACTCAAGCATGAACCAGGTCCATACACAGTGTACACATGCACAGGCAGATTTGAACACAAGGGATGCACGTGAAAGAGATAAATAAGCTTAAGTTGTTATATTTGATATCTCCTAAACTAAAAGGTTGCATAAGTGATAAGGAGAAGGACTCCTTACTTGAAGAAAACTCTATACAAGATAAGGAAGGAGTTAGAAGTTGAAAATGACTAGAACTCTTGAAGAGTATAGTATTGGAACTCTAGTTATTTCCTATTCTACTAACTTTATATATTTCAGGATGTTCTCATTTTACAGGCACGCACAAACGCTGAAGTTAAACATGAGTTGAGAGCAAAATAGCAAGGCCTTTTGCAAGCAATTCTTGTGTGATTCAAGTGCTAAATGAACCAGATAGAAGAACCAGTTCCAAGTGTCTGTCTTTTATTCTAGTTTCATTATAGTAGGTGTTTCAAATTGTACCTTTCAACTTTATTTAGAATAAATTGTACTAGGTAGAGTGTTGTATTCAAGTTAGAGTTAACTTGATGTTGTCGCAACAGCTCGAGGCTGGTTGACTCAAAGGGATTAAAGGTAATCCTTAGGTTTACAAAGAGTTTTGTGCTGTTTTGGCTTAGTGATTTAGTGAAGTGTTGGAGAAAGCCCTACTGAGTAATAGGTCGAAGTTTTTTCACCTTTTGAGCCGGTATTTTCCACGTAAAAATACTTGTATTCTTTACTTTCCGCATTTATTATTTCCGTAATAGTAGTATAAGGAACACATAGAAGAACGAGGTCCTTCTATAATCTGTGCACGCGAAAATTGAACACGACACAAATCACCCCATCTTGTGTGGTATTGAAGTATAAAACATCACAAATGCTTTCTATTGATCTTATAATGAGAGACTTGTATACCACGTAATAAGAAGACCAGAAAAGAATGGACGGGTCAACTTCTAAATGATGGTAACATTAATTTTTAGTGGAAAACCGATGCATTAGATAATATTTTTTGTTGAAATAAAAAAATATGAAGAAATTTGAGTTGAATATATTAACTGAGATGATTAAGAACTTTTATAAAGTAGAGTTTATTTCTTTATTAAACTGGCTAAATAGATCAACAATCAAATCAATTTAATTTTTTTTAAACATTTTTTTAACTTTTATTCATAACTTAAACACAATTTAAATATGATATTTATGTGATTTTTTAAATAAAATATATTGTTAAGATGGAATATACACGCAATGTGCGTAGTCATTTAATTATTTTTATTGATTTATAATTATTTCGTTACTTTTCTAATATTCAAGATTTTATAATTAAATAAAATTTGTATACAAGATTCTTCCTTATTTGAGATATGTAATATAATATGTTTATTAAATAAAAATAATAACAATTTATACTGATTGATTCATGCTAAATATCTCCTTTTAGGTTTGGGATTCTTTATAGAGGAATTTTCAGAAATGACTGTTGTTTAATTGCTATTAACTTCCTATAGTTACCATATACATAATTACTTTCTGTAGCTATCTTTTAGTTGTTATGGTGATGTATTCGATGTATTCAAGCTACTGTATTTATGAATACAGTAGCAAAAATCGACAAAAAAACAGGACAGTCCAGTTGTCCCATACGTAATTATTGGTGTAGTTTTGGAATTACAACCTAGGTAGAACATAACTTTAAAAATAGTTAAATAGTTGAAACTAATGTTTAAGTTATAAGATATGGTGAATTTAAAAGGAACCAGTATTCTATTGTGAGTACATATAATTATAAAAAAACTTAATAAAGTTCTGTATGTTTGTAGCTCAAGTTAGCTTCCATAAGGATTTATAAATCTAATAAAAATATTTTACGCTATTATTTTGATTTAACACGGATGTGCTAGATCTACAACAGTAGAAGAAGTCTTCCAAGTATCAACAACAATGATTTCAAAATTTTTTCCAAAGTTGGAATCCTTTGAAAAACTAGCAAAAATAATTATTATCATTGCATTAGAATATAACACAAAAAACTAGCTTTTTTTTTTTGGTAATTAATTTTATTATTACCAGGGAAATATTTACAAGTATAGCAAAAACCATATCAAAACTCACTTAGATTTGGACATGCAGTCCCAAATCTAGTGCCCTCATTACTACATGACTACTCAACTACAATATCTATGGATAAAAATTGAAATCTTGCAGTTTCCTAACTATCTTAGAATTCAAACTTCCTCGACAGTGCACCTCTTGAACTATCACTCTGATCAGCTCCTCGCAGCTCCTTTGTGTTCCTCGAAATGTTTTCCAATTTCCTTCCTGCCAAATGTAGTACACAGTACAAGCTAGCAGCATTCTATAAATTGCACATATTTGCTTCTTCCCTGTTGCATGCCTTACAGACCATTGAATCTCTGCATTCTACCCCTGCACATCTCTTGTTATCCCCAGCCATTGTAGTAGCTTCCTCCATATTATTGTAGAATAATTGCACTTAAGATGATCATGGCTTTCTGTTACTCTTCCACATAACGAGCAGTCTGAACAAACTGCTATACCCCAGCCCAATAATCTGTCTCTCGTGTATAGTCTTCCAAGAATTGCCAAGTACAAGATGAAAATCCATTTTGGGCTACTGATGTTATTACAAATTAATCTCTTCCACTCCACTTTAGGTAGCTCACCTCTGAGTTTATCATATACGACCCTGATGGAGTAATCCTTCATATTCATCACTTCTTCTACTCCTATATTTGCCTTATTCAAGTATTTAGCAGCACCTAAGATTTTCCGAGTGAGCCAAGAGGCCTGTTTAGCATTCACATTCCATACTACCTGTTGCTTGATATAGTACGTCTGAATCCATTGTATCCACAAGCGGTCCTTCTTCTTGTTTAGATTCCATAGATGTTTGATCAAAGCAACTCTATTCCATATTAAGATATCTGTTATGTTCAAACCCCCTGCAGACTTTGGCCAACACAATTGCTTCCAAGCTACTAAAGCTTTAGCCCTGCTCTCTGTTTCACCTGTCCATAGAAACCTTTTACAAATTATCTCAATTCCTTGAATGATCTTCTTAGGCAAAGAAAAGATTTGTGACCAAAATGATTGAATAGCAAACAATACACTTTTGATCAATTGTAACCTTCCTGCATATGATAGGAATTTAGCTATCCAGTGCTTGATTCTGCGTAACATCTTATCCAGCAGAGGTTGGCATTGAGTTATGGATAACCTCTTAGTACTCAATGGGACTCCTAAATACCTGAAAGGTAGGGAGCCTATAGAAAAACCTAAGCATTAGATAATTTGTTGCTGAATATCCTCCGTAACCCCTCCAAGGTATATGGAACATTTGTCTTGATTTGCAATAAGACCTGAGGCTCTTGAAAACTGATCAAAACACTCATATAGTAGCTGAATGGATACCACATCACCCCTACAGAACAATAACAAGTCATCTGCAAAGCTGAGTTGAACAATGTTCAACTTCTCACACCTGGGATGGTAGTTGAAATCAGGCTTCTCTTTAAGAGTCTTTAAAATTCTAGTGAGATACTCCATGGCTAGAACAAAGAGATATGGTGACAATGGGTCTCCTTGTCTAACTCCTCTTCTTGCATCAAAGGGACTTGTTGGCTTTCCATTTACAACTATAGTATAGGACACTGTAGTAACACATGCCATGATCCATGAAAGAAACTTTCCTGGGATATTCATTTCTGTGAAAACTTGTTCAAGGAAACTCCACTCTATAGAATCATACGCTTTTTGCATATCAATCTTTACCATACACCTTGGTGATACACCTTTCCTCCCATAGCCTTTAACAAGTTCATGCCCCAATAGAACATTATCACTCAATATTCTGCCTGGTACAAATGTTGCTTGACTCTTATCTACTAAGGACCCCATTACTGGTTGTAACCTGTTTGTGAGCATTTTGGAGATGATCTTGTATATGATAGTACAACAGGATATTGGTCTGAATTGTTTTATAGAAGAGGGATTTTTCACTTTTGGATCAAAGTAACTGTTGTGCTGTTTATTGGTTTGTACATTAGCCCTTCATCAAAGAATTTCAAAACAGCCTTTGTAATATCCTTACCAACTATGTGCCAAGTCTTCTTGTAGAAGTATGCATTAAACCCATCCCCACTCGGTGCCTTTGAATCTCCTATCCCCTGCAGTGCTTTCATCGCATCTTCATTAGTGAAAGGAACAATAAGTTGTAGCTGCTGAGACCTTGTAAGCCCTGGTCCTTTCCTCATTATGCTAGGATTAATAGCAAGTATGCTATTAGTAGATCTTCCTAGCAATCCTCTGTAGAACCCCACTATTTCTTGTTCAATACCTTCTAGATTGTTGATCAGTCTTCCATTTTCATCTGTTAGGAATTTGATCTGATTCTGTGCTACTCTCCCTTTCATGCGTCAAAGAAAAAGGTTGTATTGGAATCACCCAATTGAAGCCATTGGATTCTAGATCTTTGTCTATAAATGCTTTCCTCTATTTTACTCCACTTCTCCACTTGCTTCTTTGTGTTTCTCTCTATTTCAAACATATTAGTTGTTGTTGTAGTGGTTCTCATCTGTGCTTATATGTTGGTTAAATCTTCCCTTAATTGTTGCACCTTGTCTGTTTACTGGCAAACTCCTTCTTGTTCATATTCTTAAGGGCTACTTTGACACTTTTCAGATTGCACCAGACATCTTTCATACTTCTATTATCCTTGTTCCATCTGTCTCTAATTATACTTTCAAACTCTGGATGTTCAGCAAGACAATTGAAAAACTTAAAAGGCCTCCCTTTATGTTCTATTTCTACTTCCAGCTCTATACACAATGGAAAGTGATCAGAAAACTGAGGATCCATCACATAAACTTGCATTGGTGGCATGTTCATCATCCAGTGTGGATTGACAATGGCTCTGTCAGTTCTGCTATAAACATGGATGTTTGTCCATGTATAAGATCTACCCACAGTTCTAAGTTCATTCAATCTGCAATCCTCCATTAGAGACCTAAAATCTTTGATCTCATTTTCTTGTACTACTGTACCATTTACCCTATCTTCAATGTCCATTACTGCATTAAAATCTCCCATGATTAATGTCACACCTCTTTTTTTCACTACTCCCGGGAAAGGGCGTATAAAGGAGTTTTTCCACTTAAAGGACAATCGGAACGGGATTTATTATTAAAATTCAGAGTAGCCACTTGGGAGATTAATGGTGTCCCAAGTCACCGGTTGAATCCCGAACCGAGGAAATTATGACTCTGTTAACAGTCCGCGAATCAGAAATCCGAGTAAGGAATTCTGTTAACCCGGGAGAAGGTGTTAGGCATTCCCGGGTTCCGTGGTTCTAGCACGGTCGCTCAACTGTCATTTTCGGCTTATTTATCTGATTTCAAAACATGTTTTAGCTTATGTGCTTTTTAACTTTGAACTGCTTTTGTTATTATTATTTTAAGAGAATTGCAACGTCGTGAAAACACGTCTCGAACCGCGTTACATAAATGCACCCGCGATTTTTGACACATTTCGACTTCGTTGGGATTTGGACTTGGGTCACATAAATGTGCACCCGTATTTAGGAAGGTAAAATTATTTAAATTGCGTGCCTAAAGTGACTATCGCGTTATTATCTTTGGAGAATGCCGTGAAATTCGCTAAACGGCCCATTCCGAAATCTAAGCATTTTAATATAGACATTTAAGAGGGCCCCGCACTTTATGCATTTGTATTTGGCGGGGCTCGCCTCATTTATTTTTAAAAGGCCAACCTAAAGCAACTACGATTTCTATTTAATTGTCTCTAAAATAAAAGAAAGGCCCTAGTTACTTTGTTACTGGGCTAATGCAACCCGGGCAATAATTCTGCACCAAGGTCCAACCATTGAGCCCCGAGATGAGCCCAATAAAGGGAAATTATACTCAGATTTACATCAACAACATGGCCAGTCACGAGTTTTGGCCCAGGCCCAATCAAGAAGGGAATCAAAGACCGAACTTGGGCTTGCATCAGGTGAGCAGAAGCTCAAACCGTTGGAACCAGGCTGTTGAGCCTTAACCCTTCAAAAGTCTACTGATTTTTTATTTTACCAATACTTCTAACATTCGACGAGTTAAACACCACAACAATTAATACCTACATTGAGGCCTTCGAACAACCTGCTACTGATTATTCAAATTTTACCTAATACTCAGAAAATTTATGGGATCAACATGAAAACAATCAATATCTATATTGCTATTAAAACTAGATTACTGGAGTTAACACTATCATCATTAAGCCTGAATTGAGCCTACATATCGATTTTCAAACTCAGATTCAAGTTCATCACACTTCCTGTTTTAAATGTTAAGCTAATATAAGCAATTAACTAAGTATATTAAAGCTACTGTCTAATTGGACAAGTCACGAACGAATAGTCCACAGTCCCATATAGTCCAAATTTACTACAATGGAGATATCATCAAATCTGGAAAACACTACCTATTTCAAAACAGTACTGATTACGACAAAGTAGATCTATGCACACATTTCAAATACAAAGAAAGATGAATGTAAAATCAAACATCAATAGACACGGAATGAGCTTCAGTTAAATGAGGTCTTCAAATCAGCACCAGTACAACGGAATGGGAGTAGATACCTGGAATATAGATCAAATAAGAAGAAACAGGAGATCAGCAGCAGCAGATGTCAAACAGCAGTTTAGAATTGAGTTCACAGCTCGGCAAACGATATCAAACCAATCCAGAATTGAATTTAGAGAAGGACAGCATCAACACTCAACCAAATAAACTTGAATAAACCCAAACCAGCATGAAATTGAACCCAGAAATTCGCACACTCAGCAAATAACCCCAATAAACTTGAAAATGAACACAGAACACCTCTGAAACTTTCAACAGACAAAAATTCAACTCAAACTAGCTTAATTGGACTCAAAAGCACTCGAAATAGAACCAATATACTTCAGGAAAGCTCCAGCGATTAGAAGAGATGAAGATCATTGCCTAAAACTCGAAATTAACCTATAAAATGCAATGTAACAGTATTTTTGATTTTTACTGCATTTCTGTTTCTTTTTTTTTTTTGGATTTTTGAAGATTTGGAGTTTGGATTTCAAATTTCAGATCTGAAACTTGTGGACAATAAGAGGGAATTTTTAGAGGTTCCAAACTTGTTGTCTAAGGCAAAATACACTGCCTTTTATAGGCAAAGTGGGGGCACCCTTCAGATTCATTTATTTCCCTTTACCCCCCTTTCTTATTTCTTGTTTTAGCCCAGGTGTCCCTGAAGTCTTAGCTTGTTTCCCAAGTAAGGACTATCAAAATCACTAATTGCCCTTCTAACCCCCACCTAGAAGCTTCTAAAGTTGTTACATAAAATATCTTCTAAGTACCATACCCAATCTACCCCTGAAAACCTTTTGATTTTACCCTTTATGCCTAAATGAATTACCCCTCAGCTACTCCTGGCTATTTATCCGGGCCAAACTGACCTCCCATAGTTCAACCCAAAATGAAATGGGCTGTATTTGCACAAGGAGCAGCACCCAATAAACAACTCTGCAAGCCCACAAAACCTAACAAGACCCAAACTAAGCCCACATGATTAACCAACACAATTTAGCAATACTACCTAATTAAGCTAAAGAAAATAGAAGTGAACAATCAGGAGACCAACCAAGTTATTAATTAAGCTATTAAACCAAGTCGACCTAATTCAACTAAACTAAATGGCCACAACCAAACAAGGATAATTAGAAACTGAGCATTCCTATTGACACGAACCAACCAAACTAAAAAAAAAATCATGAAATAGAACCTGGAAAATTCTGACTAAACAAATAGCAAAATGACGACACTCAATTAATATATGACTTTATTCAAATATCGATTCAGTTAACCAAACAGAAGAGAAGAGACGAAGCAGAGGACAGGGTATATGAACACACAAGACGAATATACAGGAATGGAAAGGAAAGAAAGAAAATGAAATGAAAGAAAAAGAACTCACCAATCTTGACTCGGACTTGAAGCTGACCTTCCAATTTAACCGCGATATAACATTAATCACCTGTTCTTTGTTCTAGAACTGGTAAGTAATGTCAATACGCGATGAAATTGGGGCTAAAGAAATGGGAGAGGGTGCCTTGCATGTTTGAGTTATGGATCAACCTTTCAACTCGAAACTCAGATCCAAAATCTGCAGAACTTGACTGGTATTTGAAGGAAGAGAGTGATGGATATAGGATGAGGGAGGTCTAACGGTCAAGGGGTGTTGATTTGGGGGTGATTAAGAGTGGCGTCGCCACCGGAGGCGGTGAGGGTTTGGGGGCGGCTCAACTAGGGTTTATAAAATTTGGAGTGACACAGGGAGATTCGAGGTCTTAGGGTTGGATATTTGGGACGGGGAGGCGGAGAGGGTTCCGGAGTGTTGTTTTGGGAATGATTGGGGATGTCTATGGTGTCGCCGCCGGCCTGAGACATTGGGGAAGATAAGGGCGGCGGGTTGAGATCTCTAGGATTTGGGTGAATGAGGAAGATGAGAGAAAAAGGGGGGGTCCCTTTTCGGAAACATATATATTATTGACACCCCACTTCAGGGCCGTTGGATCAAAAGACCCTCGACGGCCCAGATTGGATCTCATCCAAAACGGGGTCGTTTGATTCCACTGGGGACGGACCGGGTTGGGGTTTGGGCCTTGGCGGGTTCAGGGGTTTATTTGGGGTTGGATTTCGTTTGGGCTAAGCCAATTTGGCCCAAATTTGGGCATTTACTAAGACCACTCTCTTTTAAATTATTTTTCTTTTGTTTTCTACTTTTTATTTCTTATTTTGTTTTTGTTTTCATTTGTTTATATTTTTTTTATATTTTCTGACTTTATAAAAATGCAAAAATAAAGACCTAATATATTTCAAAGTTAAACTAATTCCTAAAATTGTTTAAAAACTATTTCATGGCAAATTCAACAATTAACAATTAAAAATGCAAAATTGGACTATTTTTGTTATTTTCTTTATATTTTGTTCTAAAAACCACTTAACCCCTAATTAATCCTAAAATATGAAACTAAATCCTAAATGCAAATGCCAACTGTATTTTTTATATTTTTTTCATATGAATTAAAACAAACACCAATAACATGCAACAATTATCAGAAAATAACACAACACTTCACAAAAATTATAAAATAATAAAGAAATCATTTTGTTTGAATTTTTGGGAATAATTCATATAGGGCAAAAATCACGTGCTCACAATTAACCAGGAGTTAATCATCTGAGAGTCTATTCTCCTTAATGCTTCCCACATATCACACCTATGTGCAATAGTATGCAATTCATAAATAGCTGTAAAAGCAAATTATTTGCTAGAACTGCTATTTTTTACTATGATATGGATGTACTGAGTA